GCGAGGTGGTGGTCTGGGGTTGCTCCTGGGCCTAGATGGTTCCATGAGGCCACTGTGGGCTCAGAGGGCAGCTTGGTGCCCTGGGGCCAGCCCCCTGTGGCACTGACTGCCTTTGGGGCCTGCAGGATGGGTGTCCATGACTCGGAGCCCATCTGGGTTCAGATCCCAGCCACGTCCTTCCTGGCTGGGAGGCCCTGGACACACCCTGGCTTCAGCCTCCAGTAAAGTGCCTGTGGGAAAACAGGGAGGGGCAAGGATGGCCCTTTCCCCAGGCAGCTCAGAGCCCTGCTCCCAGCCCTCTCTGTCCCTGGTGAGGGCTCCACTGCAATGGCAGCAGCACAGTTGGCCACTTTCCCTGCAAGGCTGGAGTCGCCTTAAGGGAGTGCTCTCAGAATTAGTCAGTTCCCTACTTTCGCTGGTGGCCATGATCCCTCCATGGCCCTGGCCTGCTTATTGCGCAAGAGTGGGGGAGGGGCAGCTAGAGGCAGCAGGTGAGGATGGGAGTGGTTGAGAGGGTTGAAACCCACCCAGCCAACCCAGGTATGCTCTTCTGGGTTTAGAAGGGAAGAGAACTTGAGGCTGGCGGGGATGGCATCTGTTCTGGGGCAGGGGTTCCCCCTCTCCCCATCTGGTGCTGGGGAGGGGCCTGCCCTGCAGCTTGGGGAGTCTTGGTCTAGAAGCTGGATTGTGTTTCCCAGCTCCGAAGATTTGGGGTTTTAAAAAACTAAATGATGCCAACATTCCTTTTGAGGCCTAGGGCAGTACTGCAGTTAAAGCTAATATTTCTGCAGCAAGACATGAATATTCAGATAAAGTAGGGTAAATGACGCTATAAATAGCCACACACCAGTACAGGCCACATGTTGCTACCAGGTGAGTTTGCCGGCAAGTGACAGCCAGTTCCGCCTTCAGCGCCTCTTGGCATTTGAAGTTGTGCGCATGGCTGTGGAATACTGGGGGTAGGGTATGCTGCCCACCCTCGGGCTGACCCCAGAGCCAGAGGTGAAGGCAGAGCTCTCCTGGTCAGCCCCCTCAGGCCTTCAAAGCCCATTCAGAACCCTCAGGTCCAAGTGCTTGTTCTCCCAGGCAGGGGTTCTAGGGTCTGGTGGAGGCCTGAGCCTCCTGGGATGACTGGATCTGTCTAGCTCCTGGGCGGCACCGAAGGGACAGCCTCGCTCTCCCCAGAGACCCAGTGGCCTTGGCCCTCTTTCCCTCTTTAAGCAGCACTGGAGGTGGGTGGGAGGGCAGGAGTTGAGTGGACCTGGGATGGGGAAGCTGCTGCCCTAGGAGGTGCCAGAGTGGGTTCCCGGACTAAGGGGCTCAGCCCAGGGTGGCACGAGTGGCCCAGCCCTGTGCTCTGGCTGAGGATGTGATGGGTCTGGACAGAAACTCCATGGGTTAGAAGGAGGGTGTTCTCCTGTACTTGGGAGGCTGTGGCGTCAGCACGTTAGATTTGGCCATTGTGCTGCTTGCAGCCTCGGGGCTGGGAAGCGAGGTGCTGGGAAGTGAGGTGTCAGGGCCTGGGTGGGCAGGGCTGGCGCTGCTGGAAATCCTAGCGCGTAGGTGGGCTGGTGCCCTGGCCCATGACGGTGAGAATCCAGTGAGAGTGAGCAGCCTTCCTGCACTTGCTCAGCTCTGACAGTGTAGATGGGTTTTGGGGTCTGGATGGAGAATTAGGGAGGAGGCAGGAGAGTGCTGCTGCCCTTGGACTCCTGCGCCAGCGGAGAGCAGCAGCCTCAGGTGGGAGGCCGGTGTGGTGGGGTCACCAGGCAGCACCACCCCCGCCCCACCCCACCATCACACCTGGATGCCTCTGCTGCGTGCCATGGGTGGGCTCCCCACCCACACCCCTTTGCCCAGACTTCTCCCAGGCACCTCTGGGCCTTTGAGCGGGCAGTCAGCTCTGTCCACAACTTTGCCCACAACACTACCCCTCAGCAGCTTTGGTCCTGAGGCGAGGTGCTCAGATGGTCACTGATTGAGCCGGCTGAGGGGGTGCAGGTGACACTCACTGGGGACCACTCCAGGGGAACGGGCTTCTCCCATGGAAGGATTTCTCAGCCCCTTCACCCTCCCATCTGCCTTTTCATGGGACATTTTCTAACCAGAACATAAAGCTAGTGTGTTTTTTAGGGTCTGAACTGTAGATGCAGGAAGAAACAGGAAAAGGAAGCCCAGATGCTCCCTTGAGAGGCCAGCGGCCACTGGTTCCCCCCAGCTCCCCAGAGCCTGTCGTGGCCATCTGCATGTGTGGGGACACAGCTGTGCTCGGTCTTCCTGAGGCTTCCCCACTGTGGCAGTGTGGTCTTGGGAGCTGCGGCAGCTGGGCTTCTGCCCACCTCACACCTGGGGGAGAGGGTCCTGGGGCCAGGCAGGGCATGCCGCAATCGGCAGGGCTGCGCAGGGGTGTCCTGCCCAGTCTGGACTGGTGGGGGCAGCCTTAGGCAATGCTGAACAAGTGTGGTGGCCTGACGACCTTGTGGTGCTTAGACAGGGGACACTTTTGTAAAAGTCCACACAAGAAATGGAAACTTTACTGACAGACTCGCGTCTTCTGATGGGCTTTGCCTTGGAGCAGGGCTTCCTGATGTGCTCTGCAGCCCAGCGCAGCCCCTCCACACAGACAGGTGTCATCATGTGAGTTTGGGAAACGGTACAGGAGCGCTGCATAGGGACTGTCTAGGAGACAAGGATAAAAGTTTCCCAAAATCGGCTGAGCAAAGAATCCCCCTTTTCCAAATTCGTACCACTGTGTCTGGCTAATTTTAAATTTTTGTAGAGATCGGGAAGGGTCTCACTTTGTTGCTCAGACTGGTCTTGAACTGCTGACTTGAAGCTATCCGCCTCAGCCTCCCGAAGTGCTGCCATTGCAGGAGTGAACCCCCCGGCCCAACCCCCTTGAAGATTGCTGAATGGAGCTGTCCGAGTAGGTTGGAGGGAGGCAGTGGGCAGGAAGTTTGACTTTTTCTTTAAGCAGTGGAAAGCCCGACTTCAGAATATCCTGGTTTATTTTCCCATACTCCCTGGAGAGGCAGGGAACAGGTTCCGTGGGTGGGGTTTCCGGTCCCCAGCCTGCCTTGCTGAGCAGGGGTGGGGGCAGCAGCCCTCCTGAGTCTGGACCCCCAGGAAGCAGCTTGGAAACATTCAGGGTGCTGGAATGGGAGTAGTGTCCCCTGGGTGGCCAAGTTTTCTCCTCTTAGCAAGGCACTGCTAGTCACTAGAGCGTGCCAACCTTGCTATAGGCTCCCCTTCCCCAAAGCCCCAGCTCCCATCACCTGCCAGATACCCCTACCCCGCTGGTGTTCTTTCCACTTACCTCAGTACTGGCTGGGGTGGGGGAATTTAGGTGCCCAGGAGGCCCAGAAGGCGCTTGTTGGGGTCTGCCTGTCTGGTGAGAATGAAGCTTTTCTCATTTGGCCTGAGCTGGCTAGTGTGGTCTTTATTTTACTTTCAGCTGTGTCCAGAATTTTCCAGAAATAGCCTGAGGAGCTGAGCTGAGCACACAGCTCCTGGCTTCCTACCTTTGGGGCCTCTGAAACTGACACTTGGGTTTGATGATTTCAGGTTATTGAACCTGTGCTCACAGGTGCAGGATTTGGGGGATGGCCTGCAGGTGTCTTAGTCTGTTACAGACATTAAACTTTGTTGAAGAGTTGGCTTTAAGATCACATTTCTCAAAATAAGTGGCCTTCAGACATTGTGTGAAAATGGCAGACTATGAGCTCCCGTTAACCCACCCCCACTACCAAAGGAACAGAAACCGAACAAAACCCCGAACCTGACCGGGTACCCAAGCTGCTGGTTGCTCTTTTACTAAGAGCAGATGTGTAGTGGCTTGTGGCACTGAAATAATCTTGCCTTTCAAGGTTTTACTTTTTTTTTTTTTTTTGAGACAGAGTCTTGCTCTGTCACCCAGTCTGGAGTGCAGTGGCTCTGTCTTGGCTCACTGCAACCTCTGCCTCCTGGATTCAAGCGATTCTCATGCCTCAGCCTCCCAAGTAGCTGGGACTGCAGGCTTGTGCCACCACAACCTGGCTAATTTTTAGTAGCGATGGGGTTTTACCATGTTGGCCAGGCTGGTCTTGGACTCCTGACCTCAAGTGATGTGTCTACCTCAGCCTCCCAAAGTGCTGGGGTTACAGGCATGAGCCACCATGTGCCTGGCCTTGCCTCTCAAGGTTAACTGATGAGAGCTTTCAACTGTTTTCCTTTTTTCTGAATGTTGCATGTGATTAAATAGCAGCTATTTAATGGGCACATGTAGACCGTTCTTGGGGCTCTCCAGGCCAGTGGGCTGGGTGGGGGGAGTGGGCAGGGGCTGTATTTTCAGGTAGATGGTCACTGTCACTCACCAGTGGTCCCCATTTCCATCATGGCCACTGGTCAGTCCTCGAGTGTAAGGCTGGGAGGGTGAGGGTCCTGACCGCACTGCCCTTTCTGCTGCAGGGTTGGGGTGCTGGAGGACTGCTTCACCTTCCTGGGCATCTTCCTGGCCATCATTCTGTTTCCCTTTGGGTTCATCTGCTGTTTCGCCTTGAGGAAGCGAAGATGCCCCAACTGCGGAGCCACCTTCGCTTAAAGGGAACACCACGCCCGGCTTTCCTACACCCAGCTCTCTTTTTCTAATGTAAATGTCGTGTACAATAGTTTTATTTGATTCAGCTTCAGGACTGTTTTGTAAAGCGAGGTGGGACCGGTGTGGCACATGCCAGCTGCAGTTTCCTGAGTGCGGAGAGGCAGAGCTGCTGCTCCCGCCCGAGGCTCATGACAACTCAATAAAGCACTGCTTTTATTTTTTGCAGTCTTCAATTTGAGAAAGGTGAGAAATAATGTTTTCAATAAATGAGATTCATACCATTGTTGACCTGGTGCTGCTTACTCCATGATTTCAAACACCCAGGAAAGACGAGTGGCGCCTGCATCGCTGCCTCATTGGTCCCCGGGCTGGTCATAAGCACTTTGTATTCCTCTGTAGGCACTTACAGCTCAAGAAAGTATGCTTGTTTTCAAGTTCTTTATTATTAAAATTAAACACAATCCCTTGACATTTACAGAGCAGGCACCTCCGTGCCAAGGACAAGGCCATTCCTCCGGTTTTGGTCTGGGAGGTGGAACCTGGGGCTGCATCCGAGGCCGCCCAGGCCCTTCTCCTGCCCCGTAACAGAACCAGAACCATCCCCAAGGCAGGGCACAAAGGTAGGCTACCCACACCCTACAGTTCCCCACGGCTGCAAATGGGGCTCCCTGAGCCCTGCTCTGACGTCTGAAGTGGGGAACATGGCCACAGAGGCCTTGCGGACTGAATTCTTTTGTGGCCACAGCTCCTTCTGTAGAACAGACCTGGCGGGTAACACAGTTCATGGTGCGTGTAGCCCTCCATGGGGAGTGCCTGGTTTGTCCTCCGAAGAGAGGCAGATGGTGACACTGCTCTACCTGGCTGGAAGGAGCCTGAAGCATCACCCATGTCCACTGGCTTACCCACATGTGACCTTTCCCAATTTTCCCCTCATAAGAAAACAGTACACTATGGCAAGGCCAGAGGAGAGGTGATAAGCCCCAGTGCCCCCAGCACACACGGTGAACAGCCAGGCTGGTAATCTGTCACCCAGGCTGAAGTGCAGTGGCGTGATCTCAGCTCACTGTAACCTCTGCCTCCTGGGTTCAAGCGATTCTCCTGCCTCAGCCTCCCGAGTAGCTGGGATCAAAGGTGCCTGCCACCATGCCCCGATAATTTTTCTATTTTTAGGAGAGACTCCTGACCTCAGGTGATTCTCCTGCCTTAGCCTCACAAGGTGCCGAGATTCCCATACTTGGGCCGGGCTGGGAATTTAACCATGATGCTCCACTGCAAAATAGGTCCAGATCCTTGGCAGCCAGAGGTGAATTCCAGCCCGGGGTCCAGGGCAGCCACCGCTGAGTCCTCACATCCACGCTGCAGGGCCGGGTTCTGAGTGCGTCATGGCTGCTGGGCTGAAAACCCGCCTTCTCCAGGCACCAGAGGTCACGTGGGCTTTATGCACATCCTTTGAGAGTCCAACCTGACTGAAACATGGAGAAACCGGGACCCCGGGAAGTTTGAGTGTATTTGGTAATGGATGCAGCTTTGGCCAACTAGCTGAGTGAGAACACAGGAGCTGTGAGTCCAACGCCCAGCCCGTGTCCTGGATGGGCTGTGTGGCGAATCCAGCCGATGACTGAACTACCGAGAAAAGGAGCTCTGGGAGGGGATTTCCTCAAGTGCGACAGGTGGCTGTGGTAAGGGCAGCAAAATCTCTTAGCACTCTGCAGCTCTGTCGGAGTCGGAGGGAGCGGGGTTTCTCCATCTCCAGAAGCTCCACATTTCGTTAAAGTTTAAAACTTTTTAGTTAAAAAATTACATGTATATAGTATTTTCATAATTTATATTGCTTAAGATTATGATTTGCATGCTAAGATGCAAACCTGTGTGGTATTTTCTTTAGGTAGACACAATGCTACTAAGAGCACATACTTTATAAAATAAAATTGGTCTCATTTGCGTCACGTGCAGAAAGCCAGGCATGAAAGCATAGACTATCCCTTATTCTGGCTTTATTAAGGAAAAAAATTCATTTAAAAAAATACAATAAAGACTGAAACCATGTTCACTGCTTCTTGAACAGAATAAGAAGAAAATATTTTAAATGATTGAGTTGGTGATTAGACTATTAGTTATCTTAAAGGCAGAAACGTGTCAACCCAACTATGTGAAACAGAAGCATGATCTGCTCAGGCAGGCGACATTGGAGTCAGGCCCCTCCGCTGAAGCTTCCTGACAGCACGTGGCAGACAGGACACGCCCATCATTCTGAAAGGGAGAACAGGAGAGGCCCAGGAGAGTCCTTGGCTGTCTTCTCATCGAATGACAGGTGCTGAGCGATCATTTGTCACGGTCGGGCGGAGCTTCACAGTGGCAAAGGGGTTTTCTCCGCTGCAGGGGATAAGAAAAATCTTTCAGAACTTCCGCTCCATGAGGGAAATGGGATTTTTGTTGAGATAGAATCTTACTCTGTCACTCAGGCTGGATTGCAGTGGTGCATCTTGGCTCACTGAAACCTCCGCTTCCCAGGTTCAAGCGATTCTCCTGCCTCAGCTCCCCCAGTAGCTGGGACTACAGGCGCGCACAACTATACCTGGCTAATTTTTGTATTTTTAGTAGAGATGTGATTTCGCCATGTTGGCCAGAGTGGTCTCAACATGAGGCCACTGCGCCTCACCAAAATTGGATTTTAACGGTGCTAATTACCCATTCTTGCCCTGTGAGACTGTGCTGCTGACCACCTGTCCAGCTTGTACAGGTCCCAGCAGTATTTTCTGAGCATGAAAGTTTTGTTCAATGCTGATTCCTACACTACACCGCCCGCTGCAGAACGAGCCCAGGTTTTAAAGGTTCTGGATGTGGGTGCCCACACCTCTTTAGCCCTGCATTGTGGGTGATGTGGGGGCCGCTCTGGGGTGGGCAGACCCTGCTCCCAGGGTGTTCTAAAGCAGGTGGTGAAGGGAGCAGGGGGCCACGGCCCCACAGGGCAAGTCCTTTCTCAGGCTGAGCCTCCTGGCCTGGGCACCAAAGGCCCTCCTGGGGGACACTACAGGGAAGAGCAAAGTCACATGCTGAGGCTGATGTAGGAAGCCATACCTACCTGAGAAAAGGTGGCTTCGCAGTCCCATTGGCATCGTTCTGTGAGAAAGATAAAGAAGTTTATGGAGGGCTTGGAATTGGTCTTTTAAAAATTATTTCAGGTAGAGGTGGGGATTTGCTCTGTTGCCCAGGCAGGTCTCAAACTCCTGAGCTCAAGTGATCCTTCCACCTCGACTTCCTAATGTGCTGGGACTACAGGTGTAAACCACCGCGACCGGCCTGTATTGGAGATTTTTAATAAGACCTGAAGGTAAAGGCAGCTAAAACGTGACGGATGTTTAAAAGCGCCCCGACCTAATATGGGAGACTGTCTACATTCACTTGGAAGAATAAGGCAAGAACAGAAAATGCTCAGCAGGGCAGTAAGGGTCCTCCCAGGCGTGAGAGCATGGCGCTGCCTACTCTCACACCTGGGAGGTGTGAGGTGTCGAGAGCTCACGTGTGAACGAGCCATCTGTTAAACTAGGAAAGTTTCACATAATGAAGCTTGAGCAACAGAGCGACATCACAGAAGAAAACATTCGTGCCAAACAGAACATCTCAGACTCGGGGGAAACGGAGATCCCGCAGGTCCTCAGCCCCGGCCTCTCGAGTGCAGAACCGAGACTGGGGTGTGCTTTTTGGGAGCTGACTCCTGAAGGATGACGTGAAGAGCAGGAAGTAAAAATAAAACCCTGTCAGCTTTGGGGGCCGCTGGAGGCAGGGGAAGCTGAAAACAGGAAAAGAGAAGATGGAACCAAAGTGCAAAGGGGCCTGCAGGGCTGGGGCCAGGTGTTCACCTTCTTTCCCTCGCTCCAAAAAGCCTGCAGGGTTTAACAATCTTTCCAGCCTGCACACATGGAGCAGTCGGGTGGCCGTCCAGGAGAGGGCAGTGTAACACTGTGACGAGCTGAGGCCCCACCTCACTGTCCTGACAGTCCCAGGAAGCGGCCCATCACCCCTGGGGGTCTCAGGGAGCATGCAGACCTCTCAGCATCAACTCAGGAGCCCCTCTCTTGCCTGATGCCAGCTCTAGAGTGCAGGCTGTTCCTGGACATGGAGGCCTGGGCCTGGCCTCTGGGGTGGCCTCCACTCAGGTTGGGTGTACAGACTGGAGGCAGAAGGTGGGCTGTGGGCCCCAGGGGTGTGGTGTGAGACCTGTCCCACCATCTCCAGAGCCCTTGGGCAGGGCAGCCGGGCCTATCTGGTGTCTGCTTCTGCACTGGAAGCCACTGGCTGGCCTTGCACATCTTACAGGGCTTTAAATGGCTGCAAAAGTGATTCCTCCCTGTGGAGCATGCAGCGCTTCCCCAGCAGGCTTGGAGGAAGTCCTCATTGGTGTAAGGTTCAGGCTCTGCGATGCTGACAGGCTAATTTATTATTTTAATACCCCAGGGTGCCTGGTGCGTGTGCTCACGGTGCTGGCATCCGTGGACCCTGTTGCAGAAAGGCCTCCTGTGGCCCAGAGGACAGGCGGGAGGGCCGTGGCAGGGCCTGAGGCACACTTCATGCCAAGCCTGACTCTACTTGGTCCTCCCCTCCTCTGCCACTGGAGTCATCTGACTCCTTGGGGCCAACACTGTGTCCCTCCCAAGTGCAGCTTCTGCTAGAGGAAGGCGCTTCTCAAAGTGGAAACCAGAAACACCCTCCACCCAGCCCAAGCACACCCCGGAGCTTGTTCACACCCCTCCTAGGCTGCTGGGGACTTTAAAACAGTCCCAATGAATCCTTGCAAGGAACTCAGAAGCACCGACTCCTGCCGGGAGGACGGGGGGAAAGCACGCCTAAGAAAACAGCTCAGAGTTGAGCCAACCGCAGCCAACCCTGTGCACGCCTGGGGCCCAACAATCCTTTTCCCTGTAGGAACAAGCAGGGCACATGCCCATGGGCCCCAAAACACTCAGCCAGCCCTGGTGAAACAGCCCAGACCGGAAACACCAGACGCCCATCCATGGGAGAGCCAGAGCCGGCTTCTGTGCAGACGGTCACCTCACAGTGCCAAGCAACTGTCCCTACGGGGCCACCCTGACGGCCATCTCCGTGCTGTGGAGTCTGGCCTTAGAGAAGGGATGGTCATGGGTGTGGGCCACGAAGGGGATCCTGGGGGCCAGGAATGTCCTACTGGGCATGCGTAGTAACATCGTGAAAACTCATCGCGCACATTTCAGTCTGTGATATTCCGTAATACAGTGTTTCCTTTAAAATACGCATTGGACGTGTTCAGGCAGATTTCCCCTTTAATATCTGCTTGTTTCTCAGGGAGCTGAAACCCCAGCACTCCCACTGGATATGAGGCTGGCAGGAGCCTCTCTGCCTCCCTCTCCATGGCAAAGCAAACCCACCACGAGGCTGGGGCTGGGCACATATGGCGCCTCTTACCTGGTGGCCTCCAGGGGTCTCACAGTACCCTCCCTGCATCCCTGACTGAACCCCTCACCTCCCACTCAGCCCACTGCGGTGGTCACCGTGCCCAGACCTGCCCTCTTCCCTGCTCCCTTTCCTGGCAGTGGGGGACACCTCCAGGCCAGAGACTGCACTGCTGCCAGCACCCAGGGCCCTTCGGGCACTGCCTGCTGCATGTCGCGTGTCCCTATCAAGACAGGAGACCCCTGGCCACTAGAGAGTGGGCTGGGCTGCAACTGGGGACTGGAGAGCGAAGCCACCAAGTGGCTGACTGCGGCCAGGGTGGACACATCTTGTGACCCCCCCCAATTCCCTCCCAAGAATCCAAAATGCTTGTGTGGACACTGGCTGACTGCCCATTGCCCGGTGGCTGTTCCACTCCACTTTCCCTCCTGTGCAGTTTCCGGGGTGCCCGTCACAGGGCCATGTGCCCAGGGTGGGGGACTATTTGATCTGGCTTTCTGAGGGGTCCCAGGCAGCTTGGAGTGCCCAGCACCGCTTGTTCCTCAGGCCACAGCAGAGAATGCTGGTGGCCCTCACTGCAGAAGGTAGGACAGAGTGAACGGGGACAGTGCAGGGCGGCCTTGCTCCTGAGCAGAAAGAACATCGCTAAAGAACATTTCTAAGCCAGCTGTAGGTCAGTTACTGGCAACAGAAGCAGCCCTCGCTGATACCTGTCCTCAGTGTGAAAACATTCCCGTCCTCCCTTGTCTGGGGGCTGGGCTTGTCTTCCAGTTCCCTTCTGATCTAGATCAATCCCTTTATTCTCAAAATGGGGACGCTGAGGCCCAAACAAGGAAAAGCCACTGCTCTGAGTCAGCGGGATCTTTTTGGAAGCCAATGTGCCCTCGTGACGCAAACGAAGATGCATGCAGGCCTGCACACGGGCTCCACTGCTCTCAGGAGGGGCTCACGCCATGGTGAGCACACGCTGTGAAATGCGGATTTGCTTTTAAAAAGGAGAGCTGTCTGCTTATTTATAATGTTGGAAGGGAGCCAACACTTCCTCACTTGGAACTGCAGGAGAGAATCCATAAATTTAAAAAATGTAGGCTGGGCACAGTGGCTCACGCCTGTAATTCAAGCACCCCAGCACGTTGAGAGGCCGAGGCAAGAGGACTGTCTGAGGCCAGGAGTCTGAGACCAGCTTGGGAAACATGGTGAGATCTTACCATTATTGCCCCCAACTCTAGTCCCAGCAAGTCTCCCCACCCCCTGGGGAGAAGCCCCTGCTCTCAGATGGTCTAGGACGTGCCGTCATGGGACAGCTGTGGGACTTCCAGGTAAGTGGGCTACTCCATGGAGGATGGCTCCCTGTACACCTAAGCCTAAGCATTCCAGGGTTAAAATAAACTGCCTGTAACTGACAGTAGCTGTATGTAAAACTACATAGAACATTGTTTTTAGGGGGACGGAGTTTTACTCTTGTTGCCCAGGCTGGAGTGCAATGGCGCAATCTCAGCTCACCGCAACCTCCACTTACCAAATTCAAGTGATTCTCCTGCCTCCTGAGTAGCTAGAAATACAGGCGCCCGTCACCAGGGCCCAGCTAATTTTTGTATTTTTAGTAGAGATGGAGTTTTGCCACATTGGCCAGGACGGTCACCATCTCTTGACCTCATGATCCGCCTGCCTCGTCCTCCCAAAGTGCTGGAATTACAGGGGTGAGCCATCATACCTGGTCAATTTTTTTGTATTTTTAGTGGAGATGTGGTTTCTCCATGTTGGTCAGGCTGGTCTCGAACTCCCAACCTCAGGTGATTCGCTCACTTCGGCCTCCCAAAGTGCTGGGATTACAGGTGTCAGCCACTGGCCTAAAAATGCTTTTAAAAAACATTAGGATGCTTTACCAGCTCTCTTGGATCCTGCTGTCTGGCCTGGGATATAACACAGCTTTCCCCATCATCATCAGCTGGTTTAGACATTTTGGTTAGGGAAAGCTAAGTTACTACAGATGGACAGAAGAAAGCTGACACACACAATTCCAGGACTGTGTCCCCAGGCCTCAAGGGTGCCAGAGTCCCCTGGGGCTTTCAGGTGGCAAAGGCTGCCGTCTTTTCTGAGACAGGGTCTCGATCTGTCATCCAGGCTGCAGTGCAGTGGAACAATCACAGTTCACTGCACTCTCGACCTCCTGGGCTCAGTTGATCCTCTCACCTCAGGCTCCTGAGTACCTGGGTCTACAGGTGTATGCCACCACGCCTGGCTTTTTTTTTTTTCCTTCTGAGACATAGAGTTTCGCTCTTGTTGCCGAGGCTGGAGTACAATGGTGCAATCTCAGCTCACTGCAACCTCTGCCTCCTGGGTTCAAGTGATTCTCCTGCCTCAACCTCCTGACTAGCTGGATTATAGGTGCCTGCCACCACACCTGGCTAATTTTTGGTGATCCACCCACCTTGGCTTCACAAACTGCTGGGATTACAGGCAGGAGCCACCATACCTAGACAGTTTTTTAGTTAATTTTCTATAAAGATGAGGTCTCATTATGTTGCGCTGATCTTAAACTCCTAGGCTCAATCATCCTTCAGCCTCGGCCTCCTAAAGTGCTGGGATCACAGGTGTGAGCCACTGTGCTCGGCAGCCTGCCATCTTTTGAGCCTCAGCCATGGTCCCTGCTTCTCGACCACCACGATGTGGATCAAACTTTATTTTTATAT